CGCGGGCCGCCATTGGGTGAGGGAGGGTGATGGCGCCGAGGGGCCTGGCGGGAACAACCCTCACGGAAAGCGAAAGACCATTCCGAAACAAGACGTTTGGTTACAAAACACGTATCAAAACAGGTTTTATTTCACAGCATCTTAATTTCACAAGTTCATGGGGAAAACAGGGGAAAAAAAAAAATGGTACAGGCTACAACTGATTTTTTAAATAATGGAGTAAGACAAAACCAGAACAGTATTGTTTACATAAAAATGTACAGCCTCTTATCAAGAGAGTTCTCCGTGCTGAGTCAGCCCAGCAGCATCTTTACACGCTCCACAGCGTCTGACCACCCCTCGGCGTAAACCAGCGTTTCTCTGCAAAGCAAGAGGAGTTGGGCTGTGACAAGGTAAAGCCGGCAGATCCACGTAGTACTGTAGGTCTCACTGTCAGTTTATTAATTGGTAACGTAGTAATAGTCCTTTGCCACATGGTGGCAGCTTTTAGGTGAAGAGAGAAATATTCCCACACAGGGCTACAAGCTACACTCTAGAAATAGAAAAATCAACACAAACACACACAAGTATCCATATCTCTGCAGAAGGACTATTTCTGCACAGATACCACAACAGCGGTACCGATGTACAAGCCACAGACTGCGCCTCCAGACGGCATCGGCCCCAAACCCATGCTCTACCAGAGACATCAGGGCAGCGTTCGCTCCACCAAGTTGTTTTTGGCCTGTGCTCCAAACAGCTTTTGAGCTGGAGAACGCTGCATATGCCCCAAGCCAACATTTAGAGCAACTTGTAGACAACATTCAGCATTCTGTAATTTAATGCTCCTTATCGTAATTTGTTCTTCTGAAAAAGGAAACAAAAGCTTGCTGGTTTATGACGAGAAACCAACCGCAGCTTCTGGGAGTGCAACTCCAGCCCAAATGCCCACTGCAACCAGACAAACTTCCACTGAATAGAGACTGCAAAGTGTTGCAAACCAAAGTGCGTTTTTTTCCTTAGATGGCAAGAAAGGAAAGTTAATTTTGTTACAGAAAACACTTTTATACGCTAAACAAAAGAAGTGCCCAGAGAAAGCCATTTTCTCATTTCATTCATACTAACTGAAGTGTTTTACTAGTTCTGGAGATACCGCGTGAGAAATTTCTTTGCTCAGTTCTATCCCTCTCCCCTCCCCTCATGAGCTTAGGTGGTGGACCACTTCAGTTGTCTTCATCACTGTTTGCTAATTTGAAGACTCGTTATACACTAGATGTTTAGTACATCACTATTTCTTGCATGCAAGGTCAGTTATATTCAGTAGAGAGTTTAACTAGTAGGCAATTTTTTAAACCTGGTGAAAGATAACTGGCAAGCTTATTGTCTAACTTATTAGCTACCATCTCACTTATGGAGGCTGGAAAGTCCTTCTGTATTACAGAGAAGTCACAAGCATATTAAATTTTACACAAATAACTTGAAGCTACATACAGCTGAATACAGTTACAAAAGATTTGATAGTCACTGTAATTAATATATATGAAAAATACATTTTGAGCCCTACTTAAAGAGAAAGGGGCTCTGGTAAAGTTTGCTGCAATTCTAATGAAGCCAAATTAGCTTCAAACAAATACACAGCTGAAGTTCAAAGATTCAGCTTTGGTTTTGGCTACAACCAACATTTAATACAAGGAACAGGAATTTACATTACTTTACATATTAGATAGCAGGTCCCTTACCTCAGTACAAGGTCTAGTATTTCATTTAAGAGTCAAACTTAAATGGCAAATTTCTCAGTTGTAATAGCCAAGCATCAGTTTTGTTCCTTGCAAATGGATATGGTTACTTGTATCATAATATTGCTTCAGAAAATAAACCCAAGAGCCAGTATCATAGAAGATTCCACATATAATCAGAGTTCATTCCCAACCCGGATATTTTAAAAACAAATGAAGGAATAGCCAATGGTCAGAGAAGTTATTTAACCTCTGCACAAGCATCATAGTGCTGCTGGGCACCAGCCATTAGGTGGCTGTTCAGATGTGCAACAAATGCCAGTTTCATGAGGACTATCACAGTGACGCAATGCTTGGAAGAACGGAGTAAAAAAAGTAGCATTTTAAATATCGAACATGCTTTGTTTCATTGGCTTAGTTTGGCAGCAGTAGCTGTACTGACTGAAGTATTTGCTCAGAGCACGTAAGACCATATTTAATACAGTCGTACTAAAAAGGTGCTTATTTCAGACTACAGAACACTGAAACAAATAAGAACCATAAACGATACGTTTGACAGCAAATTGCTCTTAGTCAAGGGCTCATCTTCTGCTGAAGAGTGAACTAGGATGGCAATCATTTGCTGCAGCTACCTTGTTCAACACGTGGTATTTCATGACAGACTTTCCTCTTTAAATAAAATATATATTCTTAAAGGTATTAATAGTTAACTAAATTGGAAGGGAGTACTTGCAATCTTGCTGCTTATAGATCTATAGTATAGACTAGATGCCCTGTGTATCATTAGTGCAGATATACTGAAATTGGTTTTCCTTGTATGCAAGGCCAATGCAGGTAAAGAATAAATGGCTATACAAATTCAGGATTCCCCACTAAATAACATAACTAACTTAAAAAGCACTGGTACCAGACCAGCCAGTTTTAGGCACATCTTTAAAAAAATAAAAGTATGCATTTCATTAATGTAAAAATGCAAGAAGATTCTTAGAAACATCTGAACTTTATGGTGCATTGGAATGGAAGTGATGCTTCCTTTAGTTTCAAGGAATATAATAAAGGCTTAAAAAAACCCAAACAATGCAATAGTATTCTTCATAGGGAAGAACAGTTTTAGTAAAACTGAAAAGATAAATAACGAATAATAAGCAGCCATGACAGCTGACTGGTGAATATTTGTGCTTTAAATGTCCAAAAGAAAATAAAGTTCAATAACTCTTCTCGTACCATCCCCCAGACTTGGCATACGTGTCCATAATGCACACCTCGACACTTTAATAACACACCGCAGGCTTCAAAACTAGCTGTAGCCACGGCAGGATGCGCACAGCGGCACAGAAAAGCCAGTGGCAACTTCACCAGCAGCATTTGGTGATGTGATCCCCAGCGCCACTGGCCATCAGCTGGAACGTAGCTTTGGTTAAGACTGTTGTGTGAGCCGTCTGTAATGAGGTAAAACTTGGTTTTCAGGAAGATAGAGAGCCAGTTCCAAAGCTACAAGGACGGTGAATTCAAAACCGATGAGATCTCTTCTGTTGAATCTGAATCTTTCTTCTAGTTTCTATAATAGTAATAGGAAAAAAAAAAAGAGGAGAAAGAATCAGTTAATCCACAAGATACCAAAGCACTGTTAGATTAAGTCAGCATAAAACAGGAGTTGGTGATGCGTGGCCTGAGCTGTACCTACAGAATCAAAAGTGTTGCCAGGGATCAGACAAGTAAACCAGCTTATCAGCTCAGCTGTGACACCCACACAACAGTTACATACATCTGCCTGAAAAACGCTAAGTGCAATAATAACCTCACTGTAGGATCAGCAGGACATTAGACTGCACCAGTCAGGTAGTTTTAATGAATTAAAAAAAAATCAAGGAAGAGCCCTAATGAGACATAAAACTGACTGAAAGAGCTGGTCTTAAATGCAAGCATGCACTGCTGAAAATCTTGGCTTTACTCTTTGTCTTGTTCCATGGAATAGAGGGTTTTGACAGCACCTGAAACAAGTCCCATAGTACTTACGTCTATAAGGTGTTTAACTTCATGTTTCCTGAGATCACTGCTGATCTTGGCTGCAAGCAGAACGCAAGCACCAGCACACAGTTTGCGGTTCTGTTTGTTGAGTTTGCCTTGGAGGACGAGCTTCTCAAAGTAAACATAAGCCATGGAGACAGTAACTGGCTCCAGATTGCACTCTTCACTCAGGTTCCGCATCTCTCTCTTTAAACTGGGAATAGGAAAAAAGAAACCCTCTGAAACACCACAGCTTTTATGAAATGCTCTAGAAACACTGCTGCTCTAGAAACACTGCAGCATGGGAACTTGGAAGAGCATATGGGCAAGACTCCTATTTGGAAAACCATGATGAGTATTATGCCAGACTGGAGAAGCCCAGCTGGCAGCACGCTGGAGCTGATGCAGAAACTGATTTAACCTGGCTGACAACATCTACTGGGGAAGAACAGTTCCTCATCTGCCCATAAACACCCGGCGCTCAGCTGCATCACGGACACCCAGGCTATTGCTGTATGACTCCTTCTGGGCTTCCAAACTGGTTTGTGATTCATATTACAAGAATGAACCACCCTGATCTATAGAATACCACATCAAAGCTGTGCAGATCACAGCAGTTCCTGCACAAAGACAGGTCTACTACACACCTCGTGGAAGAATCAGGTCTGAGAAGGAAGGCAGACTAGTTTACACCCTTCCCACAACAGCTAACCCTTCACTTCAGCATTAAGGCTGACTTTATGGTGGATGCTACCTCTCATGGCTGCCATCCCTACTACACCTGAAGGAAGATTTCTGCGTGAACACACTTCTTGAAACATCTACGAAGAAGAGCATGCAGGATGCTGGCAGAACACAGGCTCTGCCTGAGCAAACCTTCCACTTGGAGCGGAGTTATGCATAGCCCTGGTGATTCAGCAGAATCGTGTCCTAAGCCGACTATTTCAGAAGGCTCTGGTTGCATTAACTGCTGTGTAATACCAGCAAGATTACAGCTCTCGGAAGGTGCAACAGTGCATCTCGCTGATGAGTGGCCAGATGCATTTCCTGGAAGGTGAGGCATAGTGCTGCCTTCACAAAATGCTTTTCTTTACTGACACTCCCCAGACCTAACACTTTTCTTTATCCTAGAATCTTGTTAGAGTCCACAGCCAGAGAGTCTTGTAATTGAAAGGTGAAAACAGCCAGCGGGTCTAGAAAGACAATCTATTTAGAGGAGGAGTGCACTACAGCCAAACAATCAGGTTACAAGTATTTGTTTCAAGGCTAATGCTGTTTCACTGCTAACTGGCTGTTAATGTTACTCCACCACAGTTGGTGAAACAAAACCCTTTTAGGCTGAACTATGAAAACCAACTGCTACCCTTTCTCAGCACCCTAAACATTCCTGTACAGGACTGTCATCCTACAGTCAGCTCAAGTGGCAACAAAAGATTAGTGTTTAATCATATATACTATTAATAGATCTAGTATTTGCTCCATACAAGTGGAAGATAAAAGCAGCCTTGTACAGCATAGGAGATGTTCTCATTATTCAACGCTTGTTTCTTACCTCCTAATTTTGCTCAGTGTCAACTTGATATGAGGAAACTTCTCTCTAAAGGTTTCATTCATATCTTTTTTAAGGTCCGAGGGTTTCACATATTCTATGACTGTGGTCTGAAACACAAGAGGCAAAATTTGTCATTTCTCTTGTGAACAGTACTGACAGCCAAACAAGTCTTCCAAAGACACTAATGCAAAGGCAAACCTGAGTTTTATTATTCACAATTTAACATTTCTATAATGTCCTAAGTAATACACCATGTTGAATCTCAACCACAGACAAAGACTTAAAAAACTATATGCAAATGGTTACAAGAAGTCAATGACTACATGGAGATACATGGCAGGTTGGTCCTCAAACTGAGTGTACAAACACAAGTATTCACATTTTTCCTAATCAGTTCTCAAAAAGCTACAACTTTCTTCCTAGAGGAAGTTTTCTTCCTTGAGGAAGTTCTTTATAGGAGGATCTTCCAGGCACTCACTCACTTTTCTGTTCATGTATGCCAGTCACTCACCATGTACGAGGCAAAGATGAGAACACGTTTATGTTTCCCACAGGGCCATTGAGGATCATCCAGAAGATTTGGATCATACTCTGTGGCTTCCCCAGCTTCACTTCCTGAGTGGAATGAGGAAAGCACTATGCTGGGTCACAAGATACAGAGCTTTAAAATTCCCTGTTTCCTCTTTAAAAATGTTTTCAAACAGCAAACATTAAAAGCGTTGGCAGACCCCATAGTACAGGCGAACTGCAGCTACAGTCACCTGTTTGCATTCCATGAATGCACCAGTCAGGTATTACAATTATTAAAAAACCCACACAAGCTCTTTCTCCAGCATATGCCTGACACACCATCTTAGACTTACTGCAAACTAACAGTTTATCCTCCACAAATATGCACAGAAAACAATTGCACAAGACTGAATTCTTTTGCCTATACTCTCATCCAGCAGACAGCAGAGCTGTCACGTTTGCTGTTTTACACAAGAGAAGGGATTCTTGTCACAAACTCTTTGGCTTATGCATTGTTACTGTGCTAGAAGGCAAGGAGGACCACCTGTACCTACGTACACCAGATGTTTCTTGTTGAGCAACATAAAACTTCACATTTCCAAGGAAACGGCTTTGCACTCCTTGAATTGCATAAACAGAACTAGGCCAGATATACAGAGGACGTAAGGAATGTGTGCAAGTCTCAGTCTTGAGGCTTATCATTTATACTTCACTAACAAGCCATCTTTGCTAGGCTGTGCTAAAAAAAGTCTCCTAGCTGCAGCACATCCTTTCTAATAAAGCACTTCACTATTGGCAATTGTTTCAGACAAATACATTCCTTTTATGTTTTTCTGCTGTGTGCACAAATGGTGACAAAGCTGTCGGCTGTCCTTACCAATGTCTGTTCCTGCTGGTATCGTTTTTGCTGTCACAGGTTTATATCTTGATCCAGGAAGACTCCGTGAAGCACTAGCTCGACATGAGGAAACAGCACTATGGCTGTCGGCTTTGCGAACAACTAGGGCATTGGTTGGATACAAGAATTTTGCATAGGACACAACCTTAAGGAAGGGAAAGTTGTAATAGTTATAGGAGAAAAATTATTGAAAAGCTTATTTCCAGATATCTAGGATTTTACAACTCAGACACTCCTGCAGTTTGTATTTGGGAGTGGCAACCTTGAAATTGTGGAACAGGAGGAAAGGGAAAAGTTGGAAGAGGAACTTCTTGTTTCCATGGCTTCAGTATGGAAGTGCTGTAGAAGATTTGGTGGGGTGGCAAAGGAAAGGGGACATCAGTAAAATTCTAGCAGTATATAAATTTAACTAAAGAGATATAAGTTTCACCCATATTTCTATCAAAACATCACTCACATGTTGCCTGAGATACCAGAGTCAAATAGATTCTCTAGAAATGGAGACAGAAGTGATCACAGGCTTCAACAACCTCCTCAGAAGAAGCTTTATCACAAGCCAAACATTTCAAACTTTAAGGATCAAAACAAACTTCCGCTGCTCTGAAAAGTTACAGCTCTCAATTTATGCAGTGCTTTGCCATCCATAAAGTGATTTGTCCCAGCATGAAATGGTCCCAGGGTGAAAGCAGCCAGCTTATCCACCCGCTCTCCCCAGCTCTACTCAGTGGTTTGGTCATTGGCATTGCAGATCAAGAGACTAAAGAGAAAAAAAAAAAAAAGAAAAAGAAAGAAAAAAATTCCTTACCTTGCCATCAGCACCCAGCTCTACTCCTTCCAGGCCAAGCACCATCTCAGTGGAGACTGAAACTCCACCAGAAGGATGTCGTTGCTTCTGTCCTTCCATTTTTAAATCACTAAATGCAGATAAGAAAATGCACTATTGGAAAATGCAGCACAAGCCCAGCTTTGTCTATGGTAAATACCAGGTGCAGCCCCTAGCTACAGCCAACACCACCAGGTCAGAGTTCTATGTGAGAACAGTGCAATCCCTCAATCCCATCTCCAAGAAAGCATTAGTTTTTAAGTACTCTTTTCAGAATGTAGAGATGTTAATTAACTGAAGAAGCAGATTTCATCTCATGTTAACTCAAATCCGTACCAATATACTTATGAAAAGTAACCAGGGTTTTTTTGTTGGTGTTTTTTTTTTTTAAATATGGTCTTTCTGCATAAGACCATACCATTTGTAATACACTAATGCTCAAACACTTAACAACAAACATGATTTATATAACTAGTTTTCCAGGATTAGAAACTTGCCTTTCAATTGCAATTTTCCAACCACTGTGCACACAAGGTCAAATTAAGAATTAGGGCTGCTAGCAGAACTGCTTCAGCAATGGCAGCATGCAGCTTTGTCACCTATATTCCAACGCAAAAAAGCAGCTTTCAGTTGAAGAATTGCATTGCCAGCTTACAAGCAGAACGACAGTGCTCAGAAGTGCTCTAAAATAGCTCCAGTGACCTTGCAGCTTTTCTATTAAGTGAGAGAATATTTTCCCATCAACTATTTTTATGGCAAGGGTATTTGCATACAATACAATTCCTACCACTAAACATCCGTTTCCTTCATCCATAAGTTACGCACAGGACAGAAGTGACAACACAATTGTTTTGCCAAAAGTGGATTAGAATAAAATTAGTATTTTCTATGGCATAACTGTAGATCACAGACCTTCACAGAATCAACTTGGACTCCACAAAAGACTGAGCAAAGTTGCAGGGAAATCCAGTTAGCACGTTTTGTTTCTTATAAGTAGTCATATTGACAGTTATATAGAAAAACGTAGTACAAACACTAAAAGCAGTATCAAGTCTAAACTGCTTCTGTTTTTCTTAGATTGCAAATAGTGACATTTGTGGCTTAGGAGAGCTAAAAAACCAGAAAAGCATCTTAAATTTACTTAGATGTAACTTCACTATAAAACCTTGAAAGGTTTCCAGTAAAGGCAGCTGGATCCCGCCTTTCCCTGACGCTCTGTATGCTTTTTTGCTGACACAATTGTTTGTTTCACTACAGACAGTTGATTTCTGACCACTTTAAGAACATAGGAAATCCTGCACAGCAACAAATCACATCACCTGTTCGAAGCTGGTTTCAGGGATTTCACAGGACCGGAGTGCTTTAAAATGTGAATAAACACTGGAAAAGTTTACCTCTTCCTCTACTTTTCTCCTGGAGTTTGAATGAACACTTTGACACTGTGGCAATGTCTGATTTTACTGCTCTGATAGCAAGTGCTTGTCCTTACACATAAATGGTAAGTTAAAAAGGTTCACCTGCTTCAAAACAGGAAACATACACCAACCACACTCATTTAAAAAGACCTTTTACAAACAATAGACCACACATTTCACAAAGCAGTTAAAGTCGACTCACCTGATCCGTAAACTCTCCCCGTAAGGTAGGATAGAAAAAGCTACACACAGTGTTCGTTTAGCACAGATTAACACTATCCTGTAAGCAGACAGGAAAAGATCAGCATAAGAATTAAGACTCAGAAGTTACAAAGCAGCTTTTTTTATGGAACATAAACCCAGAACTCCCCTTAAATTGCTCTCTAAGTTACATATCCTGCTATGGATTGTATGTTTTCAGAAAGCAGCACAAAAGCGGAGGTTTCATTCTGACCCTGTAGGTCTTTAAAGCCAAGCTGTATCAAACCCCAGCGTTCACTATCTGCCATCACCCTGGGAAGTCCTCAAAGGAGACCCCAGTCTTTAAATACATATTTATGTAATTTTTACATAAACCTTGTGAAAAGATGTAGATAGTATTTTACATTTAGATGAAGTCTCACACCTCTATTAATAATAAATACAAATGCAGCCCCCTCCTGCCTAGGAACTATGAGCTAAGAATTTGGCTAAACCAAGCCATTCTCCTTACATCCTCCTCAGCTCTAACCTCTCTGTGTGCTAGAGATAAAGAGAGTGTTAGAGGGGAATGCTTTAACCTCCTCAGAGCAGGATGGCAGAACCATCAGAATATTGATTGGTGCAGACATAGCAGATATGAGCACCTACTGCCTTCGATAAAGTATGTATAAAATTGAGACCCCAAGGACATCACCTTATTCCCACTGACATTAAATTGCTAACTGCACTGAATTAGAGTCTATGTCTGAGCACATCCTATTTCACCTGAGTACAGAAGTTACCTGCTGTTCTTGGTGTCATACTGCCTCATGTTCTTGATGAAGTGCATCTTCTTCAAACTCTTGTGTCTCGGAGACCCAGATATATGCTTGGTTCTGCAATTATATAAAAAACCCCAAACCCATTAAGTGCTCTGAAAAAAAGTCATGCCAGTTTTATGATCAGATGGCAGCACTAGCATGCAGGACCTCAGATATTGGCGTGGAAGAGGGTGGAGGGAGGAGAGGACTGCATGCAACGAGTTGAGATTAATGCTGCTTTTGAAAAAAGTACCTTCGTACACTGGCATATTCCACTATGTCTTCTAAAAAGTCTAGAGAGCAGCGCTGGGAGATAAAACGCCTTCTGTAAAATGTACAACACCATGAAGAGTGAACAATATTAGTTCATGGCCTCTGAGTTTATGAACTGCAACAGATCTATGAGCTCTTAGGACAAGTGACAGGGGTTTTTTTGGATTTTTTTTTTTTTTTTTTTTTTGTGGTGGAAGAGTGCTTAACTAAGTTTCAAGTTCCTAAAAAGGCCAAGAACTTGTCCGCCCCTCCAGGACCCTTGAAGTACATAGTTACACAAACTTCACTAACAAGAGCATTCACTATCTTCAACACATAAGAACACCTACCTATAAGTTAACACACCTAAAAAACTTTGAAGTATTCATTTAAAATATTACAAGAAATATTGCAAAAAGCCTCCCCTCTCGGCAAGGGAATAAGTAATTTTATATCAATCTATGGACAGATACAGATATATCTGTATGATGTGTGAACATCTGTGTGCATTCCCGATTCAGAACACAGTTGTCTCCAGCAGCAGGAGTCAGCAGACCGAGAGTCTACGACGGTAGCTCAATAAAATTGACAGATCTCTCCGGAAAACAATAGAGAGGGCTATTAGAGGAAGTAAAGAGTATTCAGTACCCATCTGAAATCCCAGAGTGGAAGATGAAGGAGAATAATAGTAGGAATCATGTGAGTTAGTGTAACAGTAATAGGATATTACATTTAAGCAAAAAAATAGACTTTGCCAAAGTAAGATACATTGCTATTGTCAAAGTCAAGTCATTCTTTGTAGGTAGAGATTTACAAATGAATTGTGAAACTATGACTGCAATTTCCATAGGAACAATTCACTCGGATTCAACTGCCACCAGCAAAACACTGATACTACAGCTATCGGATTCCATATTTTCTGCTTTTGTTTAAGCATACGTTGTGTGGCATTTTTTAGCATAAGCCACATGCATTCAAGTGCAAGGTTTTCTTCCAAAGTGACATAGTAACTCAATGAACAATACCGCCATGGAAGTCAACGTAGAAGCAGTGCATGAGACAAAAGTTGCAGGACTCTGGTTTGACAAGATTTACTTTTGGAAAAAATTCAAACTAAGTCGCATCAGAGCTCTGGCACCCACGAGCAGACAAACTGCTCAGACCAAGGCCAGGCTCTTGGGCCTGAAAGTTAATACCCAGAGCAAAAACGTGGTGCCTTGGGCTGGTTCAGGGGGGGAAAAAAAAGGTCAAGAAAAATGTGATGTATTAAATAACAGCTATGGAAAAGTTTTTACACAAAGCCATTTACAGCTTCAGTTGACTCAAAGTAAAGATCAAAAAAAAGCTACTTGGAATTTAAGTCTGGTCTTGAAGTCCAGCACTACAGGATTTTGAAACAGCCTGACAATCTGCTAGTGCCAGTGACTTTGCCTTTCCTCCTCTCCAGCCTGAGCTGGGTGAGAAACCAAACCACACTATTTGGTTGCTACAGAAGAGATCCACCAGAGTTCTGGACATGAACAAAATCTGACTGCTTTTTCTTAAGCATAGCATCTAGAAATGCAAATTTTTTGAGTGACAAACCAGGTGCTTTCACCTCTTTTCCCTCTTCTTGCAAATTATTTCTTTTCTTCTGAGCTACTTGGAGGTATTGCCAGAGCTGCCTGCCAAAAACTGTGCCAGCGAGACGTGGCAGTTTCACTACGCACAGCACATCGCTGTTAAGGGCAGTGTCCCTGTTGTACCAGACTTGCTATAAAATTATGGATTTCCACAAGCAGCAGGTTATCAGCAACAGGAGCATTTGCCCATCTTGCTTCAAGCTCTACCAGGAACATGAAAAACAGCACTTTAGAAAAGATGGTGTTCTGGTATTCTTCCTTACACGTTGACATGAATGTTACTTAAAAATACCGATTCGCAGGCAAGCCCCTCCAATAAGGTCTCTGAAGTTATTGCTGTAGTTTAATGTACCAACACTTATCTACAGGTTTTGCAAAAAGACACTTCAATCTGAGTATTCCTGAAACCAGGTTAGCTCCTCATCTTCACCACATGCTCAAGAGAAACAAGTCACCATTTTCTCTGTGTCCTCAAGTACATAAAGAGAATGAATGCCGAACTAAAGAACATTTTCCTTTTCTTCCCAACGTCTGCTTACAATTTCCTTAATACAATACCATTAGTGGCCTTTTTCAGTGAATTCGTAATAATTTATACTCCCATATAAAACTTTATTTTTTCTCTTAGAAGGAGATTGTCTTCAGGTTCCCAGCAGCACTGCCCAGGCATTCTTAAAAGAAAAAAAAAAAGACCATAATTCAAACAGGTAGGAGGATGAAAAATTAACGCCCCTTTCTGTAAACACAAGAGAGGTAAATCCTCCCACAGGACTAACACCCTCAGCATTGCTAGAGACTGCCTCCCACAAATCAACAGCTATTAAGGGTACTACTGAAGAATGTTTCTGGCACAGCTTCAACACCCTTCACCAGCACTTCAGTTCAAAATTTTTTTATTTTTTTTTCAGTGAGAACTGCACAGGAAAGTTTAATGCTTTCACATACACATGGTTCTCCAGTCTACTTTGGCATCTAACCTGCAATAAAAAACCCCTTCATGAAACGTGGAGGCCAATCTCAAGCCTCCTGGCATGAATGCAGTTGGTAATATCCACAGTCTTCCTCCCCTCCTAGGGGAGACCTGGCTGGATGCAGACAGAAAGACGCCATGAGCAGCGAGCAAAGGGAAAACACAGCTAAGGCCAATGACAATAGGCATTGGTACAAAAAACCCCACGTGGTTCTGTAAAAGGATACTGACGTAAGTAACTGGATGGATTGAGCGAGCCACGGCTAGACCCTCACCAGTAACCTCACAGTGCTGTAGGTCCGACTGCCCACAGGGTCAACGAGCATGTGCTCACTGCCATGGTGGAGACCATCCAAAATATCGCCTCGTTTTCTCAGTAGCAACAAGAGTGCCAAACACCTGAACCTGCTGCTCTGTAAGAGCATAGCTGGAAGTAAAAACCTGCTGCAGTGAAGGGAAGATCCTGCCCCTTGACTCAAAACCACAATGACTCATCCCCACTCTGCCAACAGGAAACTTCATTTTTAGCTACGCTTATAAATAATATTTTCTGTCCTCAAGTGAAGCTGTCGCCTTGGAAGAATTCAAGATGCTAAGCAAGATGCTCTCCTGCAAATCTTAAAACAGGGTGTACCTAAGAAGGTCTCACTAATTCAGTTAGAGTCCCCAAAATTGTTTGTATGGTCAAGCCAACGTTTTAGAGCAACACAGCTCCCTCGCTGCAGTCCAAGAGAGACTCGCTAGATTCCTCAGTACCACTAATCAGAAGTTCCTTATTAGGTAGGGGAGTATGCTGGAAAATTTAACACTTTAAGTTGCCTGCACTTATCATATATATATATATATATATGCTTTAGTTTGAGTGCTCTTCTCATGCAGCCAATCCACACTTCAACAACAGGCAGCACAGGATCACTTCAGCAGCTGCTGGCTTTGAGGAAAAAACATTGAGTCACATACCCTGTCCTAAGCAGCTTCACTAGGATAACACTGCTTGTGGTCTGATCCACTGGAATTCAAAGGATTTTAAGTAGTTTACATAGAACATTTGTTGCCAAATGCAAACTATAAATATATATATTTGTTTCCAAATGCAAAATACCAAAACAGAATAGCAAAATCTCTGCACGCACTGTAAGTTACCTTACACACATTCTTACTGACACACTACCTGATAATTAGAAATTGAAATATCCAATATTAAGATGTTCATGAGTTCTGTGGAGCAGGCTGTAATTTCAGCAGTATCCTAAAGAACGTTCAGACATGCTCGTTCACCAATACCAACTATTTCCTTGAGAAATACCAGCTATTTCTAGTGGAGGGTGTCCCTGCCTGCAGCACGGGGGTTGGAACCAGATGATCTTTAAGGTCCCTTCCAACCCAAACCATTCTGTGATTCTATGGAACTATGGAGAGTTTGCTCTTTTGTACGTCCTTGGCCAGGAGCTCCCTTTTGGGTGCTTCCCAGACACTATTTCTGGAGCCAATAAAGCAGGACCCTCCCAGAACTTCAACATAAAAACGGCAACTGTGTTTACACAGCCAGCACCCCTGAGGGGACCCACCAAGAGAGAAAACACATGCAGCACACGCTCAGAGATAAGGGGCTATCAGGCAGAGGAATTCTGGATTACGTCTTGGCTTGTTATCTCCATGTGCACACACGGACGCACACAATCCAACACTGCTGCCGAATCCCTGATGAGCTAAACGCGCACTTAAAAAGCCAACACAAAACCCCCTCGTGTTCCGATAAAAAACCCAATCACATTAAGTCCAGAAGTGCATTTACTGGGAAGCAGTAGCCAGCCCACACATTTATTCTTTCTGATGGATTTCCCACTGAGAAAACCCAACTTCAGAGTGCCACCAGCTTCAGAGTTGTCCTCTCCTATTCCTGCCAGTACCCACGGAGTGCTGGCAGAGAAACCCTCTGCAGAGGGTGAACAACGGACAAGCAGCACGCAGGATCCCCAGCCCCGAGGTTGACACAGCTCTTAAGTGTTCCCAGCAGAACAGGACACAGCTAAGAGCAAGCTATGTATAGCACCGGTAATCCCTACGCGTCCCGTCTTATGAATTGAGAGGAAAAAGCTGGTTAAGTCACAGCTCCCGATTAAAGAGCTGTGACCTTTCCAACAGCTTGCCAAGAGTATTTTCCCCTCTCCCACCCAGGGGCTGGGCTACCTGCAGACACCCAAGAGGACAACGGTAAAGTTTCAGGATGTTGCTGTAGTTGGAAGTATCCAAGCTGACCGTGCTTTGGCAGATATGGTTGAACGCAAAAGAGATACCAACCCTGTGCTATCAGACATGACTTCAGGCACAAGGAAGTCTCTTGCATGCCTGCTCCTGGGCCACTGTGTCAGCTCTTTGGGCGTCCATGTCCCCGCTCAGCACTTCCAGGTACCGCTTCCAGGCTTGGAAATAAACAGCCCTCATTAATCTCATTTTAGCCCCTAATATCGGGCCTTACAGTGGCCAGTGATCTTACTTAAGCCCATGTGCTGCCGCCATTTGGCGATTTTGAAGCTTCTCTCTGTTCTGCCCCTTCTGCCACAGCAGGTGAACGGACCAGCTGGTCTCACTCCTTCCTGAATGGCTAAATCAGAAGTTTCTAAAGTCTTACTGGGATTCTCCTCCCACCCCAATTAACCCCTCATCTCTCATGGACAGGTTTGCACTCTGAGCTAACCGCACAGCCAGAGTTCAATCAGCATTCAGCTATTTTCACCAACGCCGCACGCTGAGTTCATCTTCTGCCATCACTTCTCACCACTTCCAGGATTGCCAAGCCCTGTGACACAAGCATCAAAGATGCTGCAAAAGCCAGACAGTAACATGACTTGAGAACTCCTCCAGCCACAGGGACCAGCGGGGCAGATTCGTTTCAGATGGAGTCACATCCATCGCCCTCGTGCTGGGGAAAGGATGCCGTGCTCACACCCCCCAGGCACCGGGCTGAAATTAGCCGCAAGGCTTATATCTTCTGTGGCTCTTTAGCCATGTGTACTGCTGATAGATGGGTGGAATGGAGGAGGTCAAGGATTTTTAATTACTGTGTAAAATTAGGGCCTAATAGAATTTGGTTTCCTATTTCTCACTTGAAAGAGTTTTATTTTAACATGGATGTCCCTTTGTAAGGTCCTTTACAGGCCTCAGTGTAATCACAGCTGTCAGGGGACTGAGTTATAAATATAACAAGGACAAAAATCATTTATTGGTTTTTGGAAGCACTAGCTTAGTAACAACTGTCAGAGGTAATATGCACAAGAATCCAGATTCCCAAATCCTTTTTGCAATAGGAAGACATACCTATTTGTCAGATTTTTTCTGCCAAGACATATTTTAAAGATTAAGCTGTATTGTTTTCCTTCCTTACAGGCAAGCCAACAACCCGATACGAACCGTGCTTTGGTTTGACTAGGTAAAATACTGGCATCAAGGGATTAAGAAAGCCAGTTCCAATTTTTAAGCTGAATTTTTCACAACTGCTGTTACTTATGCAGCCCAGGAGACATTTACTGTTTTCAGGCTTGCATTTCAGTACCAGTACTACCATTTCAGTACCCACTCCCGTACCAGTGCCCCACGCCTTACCACCCTCGGCGCTTACATTAATGAGTTTCCAGCTCAAAAGCAGATTGAGTACAGCTCACCAGTAGCAACAAGTTCTCAGTAATTAAAGCCAAAAGAAGTCAGAGAGCACATTTATACTGAATCACTTTCAAACCCACATATGTGGTGAAATAAATGACTTTAATGAAGAATCTACACCATGAAGTGCCCAGCACCGAGCAAGCCATTTTCATGGCTAGATGGTTTCAGCTCTGATGTTCAATGGGAGGCAGCAGCAGGGAACACACCCTGCATGACCCGTAGTAAGCATACAGCTAAGTACTCCTCCTTTACAAAGTCAGCTACTCGCTGTTTTATGGCACCACAAGCGCGCAGTTTGGATTGCCCACCACTGTCCCAGGAGCTCGTTCTGACATTTAAGTATCAGACTGCCAGAGAATAAATGCAAGTCTCACAGCAGGGCTAGTTTAAGTTATTCCTCTGGCAATCTTCATTTTAAAGAGTAAAACCAAATGAGCCACATGAGCATGGAAGTACTTTTATGCTTCAGAGCAGGTCCCTCTGAGACCTCAGGATGAGGGGGAAGCCCAATTCCTTCCCCTTTGTGTTCTTATTCAAGGTTTGTTTGCAAAACTGAAGGGGCACCAGGGGCTTTCCTGCTGGTCCCAAATAGCCAAGAGAAAACCCTGCACTCAAACACCTGTAACGCACATGCAAGGAAAAGAATGTCATGCAGCCTACGGGACAGGCAAGAAGGAACAAAAAATAAGTATAATTTGAATGAAGGTGGAGGCAGAGTAAATAGGAAGCTCACTAAGTCTGGAGAGTTTTAAATACTAACAAGGAAAGAAATTAGATACTCTTCACAGTGGCTGCTACTTCACTGCTGATTCTCAACCACATATGATTAAGACCTAATGCTACTAAGAAACGAGCTTTGTATTCATTGCATTTCATAAATCACATTGTTTTAGTGCTAAGAGTGTTTAGACAACCCAAGGATAAAATAATGCCTTCCAATAAGTATTATGAAAGCCATCTGTTGCAACAGAACCACAAAACCAGATGCAAGGTTTGCCGTGCCCGGAGTCCACTTCTACAGCCCGCTCCTAAAGATCCCTGCAGCTTCTAACAACACAAACTGGATGTGCTGGCCAGAATATAACCAGTAACTGTATTTCTCCAAATTTCTACCAGTTTCCAGAGGCGTTCCTAGTTCACCACCCTGGTTCCCTCTGTGCTTTGTACTCTGCTCACTAAGCATTGAACCACTGACCAAAACAGGCAAGTGAAATGCAAAGTGTGTCCTTGATAACACTGTGGGCATTATGCTAGAAATATTCATGCACTTCCCTGAGATGATGCTGTTGTTTCATCACATGCCTTGTTAAAATAAAAGCCTTCAGCGCAATAAAACTCCCATGCATCATGGTTTAACCTGGCAGGCAGCTAGAACCACCACAGTCCCACCCACTCACTCCCCACCCCCTCGATGGGTGGGATGGGGGAGAGAATTGGAAAGAAAAGAGTAAAACTCATGGGTTGAAAAAAAAGACAGATTAATAGGACAGAAAAGGAAGAGACAACAACAGAATATACAAAACAAGTGATGCACAGCACAACTGCTCACCACCCAGAACCGATGCCCAGCTGTTCCTGAGCCACACTGCCTCCTGCCCAACCCCCAGTTATATACTGAGCATGACGTCATATGGTATGGAATATCCCTTTGGCCAGTTTGGGTCACCTGTCCTGGCCATGTCCCCTCCCAGCTTCTTGTGCACACACATCCCCCCCGCCCCCCCTTCTCCTTGGCAGGGCAGTATGAGAAGCTGAAAAGTCCCTGACTGCTTGGCAACGGCTAAAATATTAGTGTGTTACCAACATTATTCTCATCCTAAATCCAAAACACAGCACTATACCAGCTGCTAGTAAGAGAATTAACTCTATCCCAGCTGAAACCAGGACACCATGTTAAAAAAAGATTTTAACAGTGAAGGAGAAGAAAATTCAAAACAGGCAACCAGAGGAAACCCAGTCAAAGAAAGTTTAGAGTGGTCTCGCAGTGTTTTTATGGGCACTTGGTTCTTCCCACCGCAACATCTGTCATCCCCTCCAACCCACAATCAAGAGCTTGCAGCCTCACCAGGGCAAAATTTTCTGCTTAAATTGCAGCGGCCACAACAGAACAAGTGCAAGTCTGCCCGTGCTGTAGAGCAAGCAGCTTTGCCTGGCAGCAGTTCAGCCCATGCTGTGGCTGGCTAGCAAACAAAATGGCTACCCAGCTCTGAGACAGGTCTGCAGGCTATGCTGAGCCAGGGTACCACCACACGGAGCGAGAGCTGGCACAAGAGGAGCGTTCCCCGAAGGTGGCTGCACGCAGTCGGGGCGTTTGGAGCTGCCAGGGGAAACGGTGGGGTCAGCCGGCTGCAAGCTTTTCATTTTAAACTCGGTACGGCTTGTGAATCAGAGGGCTACCTGGTGAAACACTGTGCTTTGCTTGCACTGGTGAGCTCAGTTAGAGGTTCTTCATTTAACACCTTTTTCAGAGGTTAAACTATAATAATTTACAGTAAGTTATGTATATAACAGCTATAAACCAAAGGTTAGGAGTTTAAAGCTCTGCATGTGAAGTGTGACAGAGCGGCTTTAGCTGAGCACCCTCCATCTGCAGTCACCTGCTTTATCAACGATACCTCGTGCTCATTAAAGAATCCAAATTTCATTATGCTCATGTGCACATCAGATTGTGCATTTTTTTAAAATTCAAACTACAGAGCCAGAAGACTTCAGAACAATCTTCAAAAGAAAGCTCAAAAGCATCTCCAAGCTGGCTCAGCCTGACAGCCTCACAGCTTTAACTGCTTGACAGATGGAAAAAAGGAGGAACACAGGACAGCTGAAGTTCAGTCTGCAAGATTTAATGTAAGTAAAAAACACATACTGCAGGAAAAAAAATTAATAGAGAATTTTGTAAGAGTCACTTCCTCTCCTTCCACCTTTTTTTTCCCCCTTCTAAACCAAAGAAACCATACCCAAACCCAGAGCAGAAGAGCTTGTCTGTAGCTCAGAACTACTCTTTAAAAGGGAAAGCAAAGATCCTTCCCTCTCTGCCTCATCCCACAGCTCATAGTGAATTACAAAACAAAGAACCACCACTGGTAGCTCTCCTGAACCGGTTCAGTCATGGTGCCAAGAGCACACGACAACCCCGACGAAGCAGCTTGGCCCACGGCTAGGCACGATAGCCGTTCAGTCGGCTGGCAAAGGAGATGCAAGTTTGGGCAGCCCATGTCTCTGCAGTTATCAAGGACTTTGGGGCTAAGCAAAGTCACAGAAAAGAGCACCGACAACCTGAACACGTCCTTCTCACCGGCACCCGCAGTGGTCAGCATACAGCTGCTGCTCAACGTGAGCTTTGGGAGCTCCGAGTGCTCAGGCTGAGAAGGTGGCACTTGTTCACTGGCTGAGATCTGGGGGTAGGAAGGCAAGGAGGAGAGTAGAGATAACTATTTTAGACTGTGGATCAAAGAAACAACGTTTTAAGCCAGTACTCTGAGATCCTGCAGACTTCAGAGTCAAGAGTTACATTTGAAAATAATGGTCCAATAGAGCTTGCGTTATTTTTCCTAACTCAAAGTAAGCTTGTAAAATAAATCTTGCAAGTGAGCCGTTAGAAAACAGCCATGAACGCCGTGTTGCCACACAAGGTTTTGGCAGTATGTTCAAGTCCGTGGCAGAGGAGCACCAGGATAAGAAGCTCTGGCTGTAACGCTCCTACAGGACTTGCTTACTGGAGGTCTGAAACGAGGCCCCACCGATTCCTCCTCAAAGTTAAGCTATTCAGCTTTTTACATTTAGTTTGGGAGCATTTTCCCTCTCAGGTGACTTGTTGACTCTAAGCAAGACAAAACATCATTCCGACCACCCTCACGGCC